GACATGACTAGGGTAAGCTGGCGCAACTACTTTTAGTTGGAGGATTCAACAACGATGCTCCTATGCTGTTGGCGACGCTTCTCTTTTTTTCAGGAAATGAGAAGAGCGTCGAGTGCAGACCACACACCACAAGTGACGACGGCCAAGAAAAATGTGGATTTTTTTTGGCCGTCGTCACTTGTGGTGTGTGGTCGACGCTTTTTCCGAAATAGAGGCTATATTTTGTATCTTGCATGAAAATTGCAGTACGCATGGTAACAAAGTCAATTTACATGTGGTTTTCGATGCTATTGATGCTATCTGATGCCATCTCTGTAGCTGAGACATGCTTATGCCCCACCGCTCAGAAAAATAATATTTTCTGAAGCTGAACCAGTTTTCTATCGAAACACATCGATATCTACGATTGTCTTCACAGTAGTCCACCACAAATAGGGGAGGGCGTGAAGAGGTAGGCTCTCACCTAGTGCGGTAGAGTTTGGGGAGAAGCAGAAAGAGGCAATCGTGTTTGCGAAAAGCCTCCGCTGGAAACAGAGGAACGTTGTTTGCGGAGGTATTAATGGCTCTGCACATCCAAGTTAACAATCTTTTTTTCATGGCTTAAAATCAGCCGGTACGAAGGTGGAACCGTGGCAATTGCTGCCGAGTCCGGGGATCGAGAAACTGACTAATTTTGGATTACTTCAGCCAAGCATTACATCCTTTGGTCGTTCAATAGGTAACGGACTCCATTTGTGGAATAAAACACTGATGTGCACGCCTATCGGCTGCCCTGCCCCCCAACCCCAAACCCATGGGTGGATTAGATATGCATTCAGAGCCACAAGGCAGGCCTGAAGGCAGTCAGCTGCATGGCGCATTTCATGCCGATGGATCGACGCCAAGCGCTCTATGCTTCACCTTTTTGAAAATCGTACTGTAGACCAGCACTAAATTTGTAAAATAAGACGCTCCTCCTATATTACTTTTGAGAACAGTTAACAGTTTCGATCCAAGAGAAGAAATCGAAAACACTGAGACTGCACTAGAAATGTCTCTTTGTTTCGACAGTAGCTTCAGCGCAAGTTTTCCCGGAGCGGAGCCCTATAAACCTTGGGCTCAATGTGGCTCGGAGGTGGGGACTAAGTCTTGAAGGGGCGAAGACTCCGGTGTACGGAAGCTTCTCGTTTTCCGAAGTTCGTTCAGGGTCAACCGTCACGTTGGACAAACTTTCAAGAAAAATTACGACTCCTCGCCCCCCCCCCCTTCTGGAGATAAACAACCACGCTTCGATACGATCCCCAGGGCCAACCTTACCTGCTGGTACTTTGAATACTTTGGTAATTTTTTACGACCCCCTCCACCACCATGAGACTCACGAGGCTCCACCAATAACGACCACCACCCTCACTATCTGAGTTGTTACTATAGTAGTATTTGCTTTCGCGTCACACTACGGACCCCCGTGTAGATTGACGCTGCCTCCAACCTTGCGAATACAACCCCCTTTCGTAGATCGAATACCCTCGTTGGATTTTGTCCAAGGGATGGTAGACCTTGAGTTCGTCCCTGCTGCCTAGATAATCCTAGAGGCCTTTTTATAAAGTGCCAACCAGACCTCGAGCCAAACTGCACAAAACTTTATTTATAAATGCTAGTCATTACTGTTTCTAGGAATGAAAGAGAACCAAGGACCATTCCCTCTCATCTAACAAAAGAACTTTTGGAAGGGTGGATTTTCTACTTAGTCATGAAATAAGATCTTCGTTCAATTATCCAACCAAAATAAATAGTCAACTTGATAAACTGGTAAAATTTACGGGAAAGGAACGCAACACTCCCCCCGACTCAGGACAATGCAGACGATTACGTGACTACTTGAACTCTCCCCTATGTTCTCTGCCGAGAAAGGCCAGAGCACAGACGATTAGAGAACGGTGCCTGGCTCGGCTTCAAATCTCAACCAAAAAGAAGGTGAGAGCTCTAGGACTAAGCCTTGAAGGGAGGGGAATCCGTAGTGGATGAGCCAATTATATTGAATGTGGCAAACTTTGAAATACATCAGATCACAGTAATCATAAGGCGCTGGTTAAACGAGACAGCGCAGGCGAGAGCGCCAAATCAAGGCGGTTTAAAGAGCCGAGTTCAAGTTCAAGTTGTCCGTAGACCCAAGACCAAGACAACAGCAGTTCAACTGTGTCCGACGTTGCTACAAACGACAAAAGTGGCGCACCTCGTTTAACAGCGCCAACATTGCCGTGGCCGATTTTCAGCTTTTTTGAAGGAATCTCCGTTTAGCTTACAGAATTCTTGTATTGTTTTGTTTGAGTGATGTCATGTTTTTTCCTGTTGCTTTACTAAATTCCTACTATGCAGTTCTACACAGAGAAGACTGCAATATCTTGTTTGTGTGTTGTAAGTAGCTCCCTGCAACTGTTCCTGAATTGATGTCTGGATCAAATTCTGGTTCCTATGTGCTCATTTTACCCTATTATCCGTGATCTTCATGCGAATATCGCTACAGTATCCATTTATTGAGTATTTCATATATACCATTGATTACTTAGAAGAATGAAGAACGAGGCCACAATAAATGCGGAACAAGAAAAATTGTTGGAAAACGCCACGCGAGTGGTCAAGGCGGAGTCGTTGGAAATGAAGCGATGCCTCGACAAGGTAATAATCTTGAGTAATCGTGGAGACTCTCTTTTCATCGCTTCTCGTATCAGATTCCTTCAACATCATATCATGCTCTTTCCAGGGTGAAACGATGGATGCTTTGAAACATGCTTCACAGTTCCTGAATGAGCTGAAGACCAGCGAGCTCTCCCCCAAATTTTACTATAGATTATGTATGTTTCTGTGGTTACAATCAATTTTTCTCATGTTCCGCTGGTAGCTGTTTTGTGGTATTCAAGGTTGTTGCAATACTCCGACATCTTCAAGTCATTCATATTAAAATCAGGGTAGCGCAACTTATGAACAACACTCCGCTTCTCAGTATGGCCGATGTCAGACTTTGCGAATCGCGCGATTCGGCCAGTGAATCACTCAATTGGCTGGTACCGCAACGCGACCGCGGACGCTAGCGAATCGCGCGAATCGCTAGTAGCGAATCGCGCGATTCGCAAAGTCTGACATCGGCCTATAGCTCCTCACCCAGTTTTAATGTACTGCCATGTGTCGTTTAGGGGAGGCATTCGTCATAGCGCCTAGGCGGGTGCCTTTAGGTTCGTTTTGAACTCCTCTAGGAGCAACACATCAGGTCCCACTTATGCGCCAGCATTGCGCTCTCCCTATTTGCCCTTCTTAAAATTTCCTGATTCCAAAATTCAACAAGTATGCGGCTCCGGAAATTTTATTCCAAAAATCAAAAGTCAAGAACTTTCTCAATACGTTTCGGTACTTTGGTTTTATGTACAGGTTGTCTGTGAGTCTTCATTTCCTAGAAAAGGAATTTTGCAAATCTGCGCTTCTGATTAGAGAAAGGTTTTGAGACTGACCTCTATCCTCTTCTAATGTATAATATCATTGAAGAATGAAAATGTTTCCGATCGTTAATGAATGTAGGAGGTCAGTTGCGGAAAGTTCTGTTTCAGTTGGTCCTCTTTATACATCTTTGATTCTTATCCGAGTAACTGTGAGCACGGTTGTCTCGAATGCGCTTTATTGTACCCTCAACC